TTTGGATTTAGGCCCTCATGTGCCTGCTGATCTTACATCCATTTGTTCTCCTTTGGTTCTGCACGAGATCACAGTTCTACTGAGCAGTGGACTGGTTTTCAGAATTCGGGGAGCACTGCTGTGGGCACCCTGTGTCCTCTTACTGGGCTGCAGGCACAACTCTTTCTGTCTAAGTCCTCTTCTTGAAGATGCCAGGCCCTCTGTGGTGCTGTCTGCACTGCATGGTGCATATCTAATAATACTAATTAATAAGCAGTCATTTATTAATAACACTGAAAACATCGTCATGTAGGTGACAGAAAGTCAAACAAACTCTGGTAGGCCAGCCAATGCAGCATGGTTTTGGGGGGGTGGAAAGGAGAGCACCAGGGATATTTGTGAGGGGCAGTGGGCAAACTGCTTTGAGCCAGTAGCATTTGAGGCTAAATTTGAAATCTGCTCAGAAGCAAGGCATGTGGGGACCTGAGATCTTGTTTCTCCTGAAGTGCTGGTTGGAGGTTAGCAGAACTGTCTAATGCTAAATTTCTAGTGACTTGGGCTTGTCTTGAGGAGCCTTTGATGTTCCCAGGGTTGGTTTGGGTAGAGCAGTAGAGACTCAGAAAGAACAGTATGTACACCCACTTACTTAATGGATGAAGAAGCTGAGACCGCTGACTATTAGCATCATCTTCTAAAGACTATTGAAAGAGTCAGTAACTAAAATAATGAACCTCTCCAATAGTGTTAAAAACATGAATTCCCAGCCAGAGCACCCCCTGGAATTCACATATAAGAATCATTAGGACAACTGGAATGCATGGTAAGTCTGTTTACCTGTACCCCTGATTTTATAGGCATGGTCATGTTCATAAGTATGCAATGGAATCTACTTCAATAAAGAACATAGTAAAGCCAACTTGCTTTGAAGATTAAGTGAGATAATGCATCAGTGCATGCCCAGTGCTTACCTCAGTGCCTGGCAGGGGGTGACAATGCCAAGGTGTAGGGCTGATAGCTGCTATATGCCATAGGGTCAAACCCATGGCATATAGCCAGTTTCTGGTCTGATTAGTTGTTGCCCATACCAATTCAGATATTAAATATTTTAAATCAACTCTGATAATGATAACCAATACCCTGTATTGTAAACATTCAATTTGCTCTTATAACTATTTCTGATCTAATTGTCCCAGGATAGGTTTGAGGATGGTATCTTTTCCATTTTACAGATGACAAAAGTGAGGCTTGAAATGTTAGTTGCTTGGCCAAGGTCTTGCCACCAGCAAATGGTAAAGCTGGGATCTGAACCCAAGCATCCTCTTGGCAGAGCACCGTGGTCTTAACCACAATGCTGACAAGTAGACGACCAACTGGGTGATGTGTGGTGGTGGTGATTATTATTGTTGTTGTCATTATCATCATTATACTAGCTTGATTATTTTCCTAGAATGTCACGGACAACTTACCCTTTTGATTGGTGATGAAGCTGTTCCTTGCTTTATCCTCAAAGTGCTGCTATGACACATTTAAGAAAAGCTGAAACAAACTCTGTCTCATTTTGTCCTCCTTATGAATGAGTGAAGGCAGAAGCCACACAGTCCAGGGAAGGAAGGTGGGGCCACGAGGGAAATTTCTAACCTAATGGTCTGTGAGTGTGGCCTGCTTAGCCCAGGACACAGGGGCTAAGGTTTTAGTCGGCCCCACTGAGTCCTCCCTTAAAAAACATCACTGTTGCCCTGGCTGGCTTGCTCAGTTGGTTGTAGTATCATTCTGTACACCAAGAGGTTGTGGATTTGATTCCCAGACAGCGCACATACCTAAGTTGCAGGGTCAGTCCCTGATGGGGGCATGTGTGGGAAACAACTGATCAATGTTTCTCTCTCACATCTTTCTTCCTTCTTTTTTTTTCTTTTTTCTCTTCCCCTTCCTTCCTTCCTTCCTTCCTTCCTTCCTTCCTTCCTTCCTTCCTTCCTTCCTTCCTTTTTCCTTCCTCTCTCTCTTCTTTCTCTTTTTTTCTCTCTCATTTCTCTCTCTTCCTCTGTCTCTAAATTCAATAAAAATCATATCCTTGGGTGAAGATTAAAAAAAAAAGAAATCCGTGTCATTGCTGACATGCACCATCATTTGGGCAAGTCCCCAACAGAGCTTTGTGCTTATGGTTGCATTAGGTAAGGAGACCTGTCTTACAGTTTTTGAAGTTGTCTGTCTCTTGTCTGTACATATCCATCCTCATGAATTTGGAGCTTTCCAATGGAACACTGGATCATGGGGAGCAGAGTGGAGGTTAGTGAAATTGCCATGGAGGAATGAGTGGAGTGAGCCCAGAGGTCTCATGATAAAAGACAGATTAAAATGATATAGTAGAGTAATTGAAATATAACTAATACTTAAGAAGCCCACATCCATACTAATAGAATAAAATAATAATAATCAGTATATTCAAAATACACAAGATAAAGTGGATTAGGAAACACAAGGGCTAAACACAAGTGAATGATAGTAATTACAGTGATACCCCAGTAAGCTAAAATATTAAAAGTGAAATGATGAAATAAGGGAATGCTAACTATAGGGGGCAGTCCAAAATTAGTAATCCCACTCAGGGGCACAGGCAGACCTTTGGGGAGAGGCAGCAGACATTTGTTAAGCATTTCCGTGGGGCAAGGTGTTCTGTGTGTGTTTTCTCACTTAATTCTTGTAACAATCCTTTGAAGTCAGTACAGGTATTATTATTTCTGTAGGTGAAGACAGTGAGACCTGGAGAGGGAAAGAAAACTATTCAAATCATGTGGAATTTAGATGGCCGAGGTGGGGCTGGAATCCAGCTATGTGTCCTAACCTCTAGGTTGTCCCGCACATGTGCAGCGGTCATGTGTAGGGGTATGTCCTTTTACGGCTGCTGTTTGTAAGAGGAGTCCTATGGGACCTGACTTCTATCTGTTGGTCAGTGAGTCCTCAGACTTTCCCTTTGGGCTTATGCTCTCATGTCCCCTGGTCCCTTAGGTCCCTTTCTGTTGTTTCCAGTGGTGAATCTATAGCTGCTCTGGTTGTTCTTGAGGTTCTGCTGGATCATGGTGGTTCCTTTGCATGGTTCTTCCCCCCAAAGGCTGCAGACAACTTGGCTTGCCCAACTTCATGCACTCTGCCCTCTGAACTTCACTTTCACACTTGGAGAACAAGTAAAGTTTATAGGCTTCAAAAAAGTCCAGGTAAGGAGGCTGTATACAATCAGGTGTTAGGGCAGTTCAGATCTAGTATAAGCAGGTGCGCAATCAGGTGTCATGCATGAAGTTGTCAGACAGGTTTGTATACCTAATATGTGCTGGATACCATGGAGGCGTGGAAGACTGGGGGCCCAAAAAAACATTTGAGATTTGATCCAAAAGGTAAAACAGACAGAAAAGTAGGCTAGGGATGGTGAAATTGCATGTATGTAAGCCTGGCCCAAATGTTACTTTATCCACCAACCTTGCCTTTATAGCCCCCATCTCCAAATCAAAATTTACCCCTTATTCCTCAACAATCCCGTAGAGCTTCCTTTACATTGCTCCCATGACTGTCATTTTCCCTTGCCTTTTAGGGACACACCTCTGTCTTCCTCCATAGCATAGTGGATACCATGGGGGCAGGGACCTTGACTTACTTCTTTTGTTTCCTGTGAGCACAATGCCCAGTGTATGTGCTATCAAATCCACTGGGTTGGGCAGTGCTGGGGTGGCTGGAAGAAAGTCCAGTTAAAGGCAGAAATATAAGAATAACTCCACAGGGCAGAAGGCAATATAGCACTGTGGCTGAGCAGGCAGGCTCTGGAGTCAGACCCGAGTTCAAATTCATTGTTGGTTACTTCCAGTTGTGTGACCTTGGGGAGCCTCCCTAAAGTGGTGCTTTCTTCCACCGTAAAGTGGACAATGGTCAGCACCAACTTCACTGGACTGAACAAGATGATCTATGTGCTGGCACGTGGTAAGTGCCCAACAGCAGTTCATGGCTCTTTTAGCCATTGGTGCTAGCCAGAGGAAGGGTTCATGATGCAGCCCTTAGAAAGGGGAGGCAGGACAAGAAAGGGGTGGGCTGTTATCCCACTGTGAGGCACCAGGGCCTGATGCCGAACAAAATGTTGTGTGTGGTGCCACCGACTGTCATCTCTTGTGTAGGCTTGACTGGGGAAATATTTCTGCAGACACAGGCTATTCCAGCAAAACTGGAGATGCATTTTGAAGAGTTTGGGGGTACACTGGAAATACCTAGGTTTGGATTCAGGGTGCAAGCTACAGAAGAGAGCCATCCTCCCAAACCATCTTGCCTCTTGATCCTTGCCAGCTTACAGGTGCCCCCCACCCAGCACCCTGGGAATAGGGTTAGCCATGCCTCTGTCTTCCCCTCTGGAAGGGAAGCCCCATTTATCACCTTCATTTGTATGTACCCAGCCCTCATTCTACACACTGTACCTTATCCTAGCAGATATTCTAAGGGCTTGTTGAAGGAATGGATCTGTGTCCTAGTAACAGGCCTAACCTCCACCAGATGCACAAGATTGCTCTGATTTTGTAAGGAGGAATCACCACTCAGGGAAACTGAGGCACACCTCTAGGGATGGGTCCTCTTCACTCCCTCAGTCTGTAATGAGACACATGCATCTTCAGCAGTGAGAAGTGGCTTAGCCTACTGAAGCTGTAAATGAGAATTTTGCCTTTATTTTAATTCCTGTTTCAGTTCTAGCCAAGAACCTTCCTTAGGCTTGGGTGAGGGGAGAACTGAGCTCCCGAGTCTGCCTCTTAATCGTATGGTTGTGTGAGACTGAGAGTGCCCCTGCAGAGTGGCGCAGAGTGCCCCTCTCTGATGACATTTTCTCAGCTGTTTGCAAAACAGTCAGGGAGGCGGTGAAGCCTTGAGCCAGGCAGCCGGGCTGTCTCTTTAAATGCCTGGGTCTGTGTGGGAGAGGGAGGGGCCGGCTCTGGAGTGCGTGAAATTCCTGGGCTCCTCCGGCAGTCTCAGGCTCTGAGCTCAGCCCTACACATCTCCTCTTGCATGCAACTCACTGCGAGGCAGAAGCGAGCGTGTCCTCCCCTCTTGAAGCTGCCAGCATCTCCAGCCACCAAGGACCTGCTTTTCGCACCTCCAACACCCTCCTCCCTTCTTCCCTGTCACTCTCTCCCAGAGAGAGGAAAAGAAAAGAAGAGAGAGAAAGATTCTGGAATTTGAACCTCCCCGAAGAGGAAACATACCCAGCAAACTCAGTTGATTAAACATCCAACAAACAAACGGATCCCAAATCTTCTGTTCAACTGGAAAGGTAAGATTTCAGGGGAAAGGCAGGCAGGCAGGATGGGTAACAACTCAAGGCTCCCCTTCGTTCTGAGAGCCGGTAGCTCCTGAGAGGGTAGAAGTTTTCAGCTGGGAGCGACCAACCTAGATTTTTTTTTTTCTGAATGTTGGATCGGAGAGCCTCCGCTGACCATGGGAATGGCATTTCAACTGCCTTTCTTTTCCTTCAGCTTTTCCTGGAAGTTGGGTCCTTTTGCTCCAGGTGTGCAAAAAGTCAGAATGTTTTAGAATTAAAAAAAAATCTTTTAATAAAAGTCTTTCTATTTCCTGGGATCATTAGTCTGAAGTGATGTGTGCTGATCACTTCGTTTTGGACAGATACTTTTTTGTCATGTTTTAGTCACTTTTCCCTCCTCCTCCTTATTTTTTTCTGGGGAAGGGGCTGAGTCAAATGAGAAATAAAGAAGCGACACCCTGAGGGTCACAAGAAGACAAAACTGAACTGTGACAGGGATTTCCCTGGCGGTTGAGGAATCGAGGTGTGTATGTGTGTGAGTGTGTTTGAGTGTGATCTTGGGGTGGGTGGGGGAGTGTCAGGAGGGGGTTCTTGAGCCTGAAGGTTCAGGTTGGACTTCTGCTGTCTTGTTGTGAAGGTGGGCACACTCAGAGAAGGTGAAAAGGGAGTGTGTGTGTGTGTGTGTGTGCGTGCGTGCGTGTGTCCGCTCCTGTTTGGATCGGTTACAAGGGAACCTTCCTCCTCTGCCTTCCATTTGTTTATATTAATGATTTAGTAGCAGGCTTGCCTGAAAACTTCCACTCTGTGTAAGCACTGTGGGTTTTGCAAGCTCTCAGTGACCTTAGAGGCTGGTTCGATGTATTGTTTTTTCAAGGCATTGTGTTGTGCCCAGAGTTTCAGCTCTTTCCCTCTCTGTTTTTTAACCACAAAACTTAACTGCTTTAGAAACATCTTCCTGATGACAAGGGGGCAAAAATCTGTTCCTCCCACCCCTCATCTCTTCTTAGGCCAGTGATGTAATACCAACATATGGGCTCGGCTGCTTTGCAGGTGACTTACCCTGTGATTACTTATTAAAAAAATTAAATTTCTCTTATCCTCCATGAAATGCCTTCCTCTTTTGATTTGGACGTGGAAATGTTGTCATGCAGTGAGAAAATAATATTTTTGCTAACCATTGTTGGGGTTTAGGTAAAGTAGGATTTCTCTCCCATGATCATTATTATTTTTTAAAAATTATTTTAATGCAAAGGTCAGAGATCATCCGACCAAATGGGAGAACTGGGAGAGCTGGAGCTTCCATTTCCCCGCTTCCTTCGGCCATTCCCGCTTGGGGAGATAGTTTTCTTCTACCACCACTCTCTACCCCAACATTTTCATTATTTCTCTGCCCTGGGTCTTGTGGACGGGCCCTGGGAGGGAGAGGGGCTCCTTCTCACACCTGGAAGGCGGTGTAGTTTTGGGGGTCAGATGACCGTTTGCCTTTGTGGTAAAGGTTCCAATGGAAATTTGAACTCCCAGAGTGCTGGGTGATTCCATAACCAGGATAGTCTATCCGGGGGCACCTGGAGGTTAGGTCTGGGGAGCCCGAAAAACTAGCCCTTTATGAATCTGCCATCCTGGGCAGAGCCTCCTTTCATCGTTCAAGGGCTTCTGCATCGCCTTTCAAGTTAAAATGGTCCCGCTGGTGACGATGGGCAAGTTTACCTAAGGGATACTGGGTACGTGGTGGAGGGATGGGGCGGGAGAGACATAGGCAGGCTGGTGTATATATGTATTTTTTTAAATCTTCTGGATTAATCTGCCTAAGTCATATTGGGGCAAACGACATTTCAGACAGGTGCTGGTTGTGCAGAGATATTCCTATTGTTTGATTTTTGGGGGGGGGGCGGTTGGGGAGTGGAGAGTAAGGGCTCTTGGCCCATTTTCTGCAGCCTGGGGTTCATCCTGCGAGCCAGTGTTCCTTCTGGAAGAGGGGGAAAAGGCTAGACGCTGGAAGTTCGCTATTAAAGTGAGCAACAGGGCTGGGTTAATTTTTTAAAAACAACTGGACTGTGCGAATGCCCTTTTCTGGAGCTTTCCAGCCCTTTCTAGTGAAATAATAATTTTAAAAAATTGCTGCTTAAGATGAAGGGGCCAGAAATCAAAGGAATTCTAGATTTTGAGACAACTACGTCTTTGCTTTTCTGGTAGCTCCCTATTATTAATTATTGGGGGTATGATGGAGGTCTGGCCTCCTTTTGTTGATTTCTTTTTATTGCTATGTTTCTACTAAATATGTTGATGATTTGCTGCTTATATAAGGGAAAGGATATGTCGAGGTGGGTTGATGCTTGGGGTTTTGAGATCGACTACTGAGATTGGGTGGCGGTTGGTGTGTTTGTCGATGTGCATGGTAGGAAGGTCTTTTCTTTTGGGAGGTGGGGGACAAGGGGATGGTTGGAAATGGTAGACGAGATGCTACAGTGTATGGGGACCTGAGGGGAGATGGAGGTGAGGTGGGAAGTCACCGTTTTGCAGAATTTCTGTCCTGCATCCCCTGTCTCTTTCTCCTTGGGAAAAAAATCCATTATCTCTAAAAACACATTATTCTTCAATTGGCCTTTTAGAGAAAAAAAGAGAGGGAGGGGAGGGGTTAATTTGGTGAGGGGGCTTGGTTGTAATTAGCCCACTGCTGCAAAACTGAGATAGAGAAATCCATCGGCACCAGCTTTGGGGGCACAGAGAGGCAGCGGAGAGTGGGGGACGGGTTTGTCAGTCCTGGGCGAACAGTGGAGCGGTGGGGTTGGCGTTTGGGTATTGTGTGTGTTTATGTCTCTGTGTGCGTGCAATCTTTTCCATCCCACCACCAATTTCCCCCCCTACCCTCCCCCAATTCTGCCATGCTCTTGCCTTCTATTCCACACACCCCTCTCTCCTCCCCCTTCCCCCTTTCCTCTAGTCCTTTCCATCTTGATGAGAAAATTCTGATTCTGATGGCTCTGCGGCTTTTTTTTCTTTTTTTGCAACACAACAGTGGTGCGATGGCCTCTCCTACATGCCACACGGATGCAGCCTTCTGATAGGAGGGCTCAGTCAGCACATCTATACACGCACTTGCACACGCTCTTGCACACACACTCTTACACGGACACAGGCAACCAAAGGCTTGATTTCATAAAGGGTTCCATCCCCCTTTATGGCTCTCCCCGCCCCTACCTCCACCATGGCTCCTTTCCACCCGTCTTCATACGGGGAATGCAGTATCACTATCCACGTCTTTTCCCCACACCGCTCTCTTCTTTCTTCTCACCATTATTCTTTCCCGAAAGCGGTGGTGTGTCGCAGTTCATGGGATTAGCATGTTGGAGAGTCTTTGGGGGAGGCGACCTCATGAAAAGGGGATTGGAATGGGGGTAGACGACATTAATGATTTTTTTTTTTTTTTGCCAAATAAGCACCCGGTGATAATGATCCAATTTAACCATCCGTGTAATGTATGTCTGCAGCACATCAGAGGAAGGTTACCCAGGGAAAGCAGTCTGGACTGGGTTACCTCTGGGGAGAATTGATGCCTGGACACTAGGAACACAGACCCCCCTGCCCCTACACCCACACATGTGTGCTCTCTCACGCACACCAACACAGCTCTGCTCAGTGGGCTGTGTCAAGCCAGAGGGCACTGCAGAATATCCCACAGTTGTCGTGATGTGTTGGGAGGATGGAATGATGTCTTTGTCTGACCCAGCTCTCGCTCTATGGATGTCATCTGGTCTTGAAATTCTTGGCGGCCTTTGTGTTGCCTTTGGGTGGGGGCAGGAGGGGTGTTTTTGTTGGTCGGGTGCCGGTGTGCCTCCAATTGGACAACATGGGATTGTCAACACTGCGTGCGGCTCAAGCGGGAGGCTGCCTGCCTGTGTCTGCTGCGTGAGGGTGTTTGTTGGACATGTACGTGCGGATAGCTTGGAGAGGCGAGGGGGTGACAGGGAAGGGGAACTTACTTTCCCTCACTTGAAGGGGGTGGAAGGCAAAAAATGGAGGTGTTTGGTGGGGGACAGAGGGCAATGAAGTTGTCAGGGTGGTTGAGAAGAGGGTGGAGGGGAAGAAACAGCTCTGATACCCAGCAGGAAGTCTGTATGAGGTCCCCACAGCTCCCAGGCAAGCCCGTGGGTGGGTGTGCTCATGGATGACTGTGGGTGGATGCAGACTGAAGGTGGGCGAAATTAAGGGTTTTCCCTGCCACCTTGGGAGCCCTGGGCAGAGCACAGGAGGATGGCTCTACTTTCTGCGGCATCAGCCACCCATGAGGGCTCAGCCTTGGAGGCTGCAGCCCCAGTGAGCTGCAGTTGCCCTTGGGCAGGGCAGCGGCCTGAGCCCCAGAACTCTCCTGGGTTCTGGCTGCATTCAGTACCAGATACCACTTTTCCTTTCCTTTGGCTAAAGGCATTCATCTTTATTGCAATTATACATAAAATTGGAAAAGATTTCGCCTAAAAGGAAAAAAATAATCCTGAGAGCAAGACACCAATTGTCCTATGTTTCTGACGTCTCTCTCCCTTCCTCAGGCTGACCTTGAGGAGTTAGGGAGAAAGGGTTACGTCATTGCCAGAGAGAAAGGGGAGAAATGGGGAGGAGATGCTTCAGGGGCAAATTATTGTTCCAAACACACAGAAAAGAATGCTTGTGGGATCCCCTGGTGCGTTCTCCTTATGTGACCCTGGTGCGTGGATGGGAGACTTGCAAAAGTAGAGGTGGTCCTTTCCAAGCTCACCATGGGAAATGCAGTGGCGGCCAGGTGCATTGGTCAGCTGTGGTCAGGCCCTTCTCCCCCAGGGGTTCTCCTGCTGGGGGAAGGACTTGGCAGCTCTGACCCCAGAAGCCAGCCCTGGCAGTTCTGCAGATGACCAGAGTGCAGCACTGTGGCTGGGCCAGCCACAGGTGGTGGTACTGGGCTCAGGCAGGGGTTCTGTGTGGGGTCTGCTCCCCACCCCTTCCTGCAGGTTTTCTGCTCAAGTGATATCTCCTCTGAGAGG